TATATATATATAATGTGTGTATACATAGATACGTGTATATATAGAGAGATGGATGTGTGTATATGTATCCGTGTCTATATATACATACACAGATGCACGTATAGAACTCGGTCCCTGCGGGGCGTGCGCGCTGTGGTGGCTGCAGAGGCACCTGTGCCACGCGAGGCCGTGCTGCTTGGCACCCGCGAGCGTCTCCGCTCCCTGGGCTTTGCGTCTTAATGCCCCCAGTTAGGGAAGTCGGGGTTTGTTAGCTGAAACGCTTTTGGGTTTCTGGTGTTTTGTATGTTTTCCGGCTCTTCTGTTACTGAAGAAACCAGGGGATTGTTTGTTTTTTTTTTTTTCTGCATGTTGGCTCTGTAGATGCAGCGTCCTCTGGTGAGGTTGTTATCTTTGGAGAACTATGCGGCTGTTGAGCACAGGGGAGCTACTAGTATGAAAAAATAATACTTGGCATTGAAAAGGACAGGGTAGAATTGCAATTGATTTGAACACAGAATGTTTTGCTGAGCAACAGTTTAGTCTGCTCATCCCCTTACTGTGTTTTCTCCACTGATAGTAGCCAGTGTCAGTGCTTGGCCGGTGTCCTTGGTTCTCAGAAGAAATAAAAATTAATTTTGAAGGGGTACATCTTGTTCACACTTCCTCCATCCCCCCCCCCCCCGCAATGGCTTTAGTCTCTTTAAAATTGTATTTCTCTAACATGCTGTCATAGTTATATTACAAGATACCTCTTTAATTTTTTCTGTTTGTGCATTTGAGAATAGTTTGTGTACACATAATAGTACTGCTAATGTTTTTTCTTTTACGTTTAATCCAGTATGATTCCCTACTTTTACGCAGTTGTGTTTTCACAAAGTTTTTAACTGGAAACTGTTAAAAAGCTGCAGATGTAGCTGGCAGAGTTATAGACATGATCTGAATACAGATTATAGTCTCTCAGTTATTTTATATGTTACTGTTTGCAGAGGCACTAACCTAGCTTTAAAGAAAAGGAAGGCTCTCACTTAGTATTGTTTCTTTATTCAGGTTTATGGTGGGTGTAAAGTGATATTTGTTCTAACTGAACTTCTTATTGATAACACTTATACTATTGTTTTGTTTCTTACAGAATTGATGAGGGAAAAGCTTGCCTTTAATTAAATATTTATCATGTGTTAAGAAACAAATCAGTAAACCTGACCAAGAGCTAATGTCGTCAGAAACGCCAAGAGAAAGTCCAGAGGTGCCAAAGGAAAATACCATGTCCCCCGAAGTTTCTGATGTGGAAGGAAAGGTGAAGTCAAGTGACGATCCAGCAGAGAGACGGGAGGCAGGTTCAGACAAGGAAGAATGCCATGAGCCCATGTCCAAGAGGCAAAGGAAGAAGCTATTGAAGCAGAAACAGTGGGAAGAACAGAAAGATTTACGGAGGTACAGTTTGCAAAATAGCTTTCCTGGGATCGTGTGTAGTACTTAGTGCTAATAAAAACGATGGGTCGGCAGAATTTGTGTGTAGATTGCCCACCCCAGGTTTAAAGCAGTAGTCACAGGCTACTCCTTTGCATATGAAGAAGCTATAAAGGTAAGCATCCTCTCTTCATACTCGAAGTGTTCCTCAACTTGAAGAGGATATCAAGAGGGATTCAAACCTGCATGCTTTTGGTTTGTCAGAAGGGGGAAATAATGCATGGCCTTGTTCCTTCCCGAATGGGCTGTGCCCTCTTCCCCTGGTGCTGTCAGACTTGGCGAATCTTAAAAAGAGTGTAAATAAAAAAAAAATTTCTTTTGACACATGAAATGCTGTGCTATAAGTTATGTTGAGTTATAGTATGTTAAAATAGTTTTGGAAGATGATGAGCTTCTATATTATTGTGTTGTTGAGAGAAAGCATATCTGCAAATGGGCTGATTATGATTTATCCTTCTGCTGAATGCAAACTGTTCCTTCCAGAGACAGTGGCTGTTAAAGTTGCTGTCTCTGGAATCTGGTTTCCCAGCTGCCTGCTCCCATCGGGGGAGCAGGGGGAAGAACCAATTGCTTCAGAAGCCTTCTAAAAAACTGTTCAGTGAACCAGGTGGTAAATTGCCTTCCACGGTCTGATTCTGATATTGCAGTTTTGGCAATCTTTTTGGTTGTTTCTCTTATGAGACCTGACTCGGAGCATCCTTAAATCCGTGAGACTCCCACTGGAGTTTGTGTCAGATGTCTGTCTTTGTAGAACTTCACAAAGACGGGGTATGTGTTTCGTGCTGGTATCTGCCTAGCACAAATGCAAGCCACAGGATAAGTTTAAACTACCGCAGTCGTGGGACAACCACCTTGATCATAGCAGTATGCATTTATGTGCATAACGTGTACCTCCTCCGATTTGGCAGTGCTTTTTGAAGAGTTATTTGTTTGTTTATTTAGGCAGAAACGAAAAGAAAAACGCCAGAAGAGAAAACTAGAACGTCAGTCAAAATTGGACTCCAGCAGCGAAGGGAATGACAGAAAGCGTATGAGAAAGGAAGTAGTTCCTAGTACACTTCGTCTCATTGTGGACTGCAGCTTTGATGAATTGATGGTGCTAAAGGTAAAAGAAACTTACCCATCACATACAAATGTTGAAAGGTGTTCCGATGACAGCATTGATGCAATGTCAGAGCACAAAAACTGGAGAGCTGAATTTTTTAGGGTTTGGAATGTACCTTTATGTAAGCTTGCCAAAGATTTTGTTTGCCGTCATGGAGATGCAGTAAGTTGGTTTGATTCCAAAAACAGGAATATAGAAACAGCTTGTGCCTCATGTTCACCATCAAGTCAGATGCAGTTCTGCCTCAAATTGGTTTTGCTAGAGGGGCTGCAAATGCCACGTCCAGTTACTTTCTCTTTCAAAGTGGATCTGAGGCCCCTAACCATGTTAGTAACTATTTGTGGAAATGAGAATTTTGAGCATTATGAGGATACAGAGCTTTTTCTCTCAGTCACACGAGTTGGGACAGGAGGACACTGTTCAGCCTCTCTCTAAAATTTTAGAATGGATGAAAGAATGGGTGAGATGTTTGTAGGATAGGTACATATGAGAGATCAGCATGATACCCAACCACTGGTCAAGATGCTTGGTGTGGTGTTTTGGGATCAAAAAAGCTTTAACTCTATGAGGAAAGTAGGTTAACCTGCAGCCTCCTGTAAGAGTGCAGCCTTTGGTTTCTGAGGCAGACCTCTCCCCTCCCTGCTACCCTGAGCCATTTTGCCTCTGCCAGGGACTTCCCTGCCCTGCAAGGCTGCTTGAATTGAAGTTTTTGCAAAGCCCACCTCGCTGCTTGTTGAGTGTAATTAATGCAAAGCATGAATAGCACTAATAGAGGCTGGTGCCGCTTGCTGCAAAATTTTGGGGAAGCACCGGTTGGTGTTTTGGAACTTCATTACCTGAGGAGCCCTTCAGCAGTGCCCCAGAAGAGACCAGAGGACCTCCTTGATAGTGTTGGAGGTGCTGGCTGGGGGTTTCCTGCTGGGCTTCGTCCTTTGTAAAACAGGTTTCCTTCCTTGGTCATGCAGAGCCTCTTTTAGGCCTGATATAAAACCTGGCACTTCTGCAGGTGTTAGGAAGGGTGAAGCATTGTAAGTGAAGGTGGTTGTGGCCTTTAGCAATGGGGTTAATCACGCGCTTTCTCCAGTAAACGTAAAAACTTACGTTGCAATACTGGCGTGATAAAGTCTAGTTTACCTGAAATCCTTTGGAGATACCAAAACATTCTCAAAGCACTACATGAATCAAAGCAATACAATGATGTTTCATTTTAAAACAGGAATCAGTTACATTTACAAAACACCGCTTTTGGGGCACTGAGAATAAAGCTATGTAATATACCTTAGAAAAAACATAATTGGCTAAAAATTAAGTCTGCTGCATTTTAAGTAGTACTAGTTAACTGTTGTCCAAATTGTCAGGTCAAAATACTGGAGCCAGCCCCTAAATTATTTGCATTGTTCTGGGGTTCTTCAGGTTAATTATGCACATTTAATTTTCTTAAATATAAACTGTATATTCTCAGGGTTTTCTGAAGGGTGAAAGAGTGAGTATTGTCACAGTGATAAATCTGCTTCATTGCTTAGATTGATTTTGAGTGTGTTATTACATATAATTAAATCTCTGATTTTTGTTTGGTTTGTTTGTTTCCTAGAATGAAGGAAATGAAGCACATGTATAGAGGTGTCTAAATACGCTTTTGTGGAAGATATATGTGTTTCCTTGTCAGCATAATCCCTTCACAGTGGCTGTTCTTTCTCTCAGGGTCTGATATCCACGCTCTCTCAGTAGTCACTTTTGCCAGTTAAAAGCTTCCTTATTCTCTCTTTAACTTCTGACTGGCTCATGGTAAAGTATTTTGTGGTGGTCTGTCTGAAGGACTATGTAAAAACAGATTGTGTTTTATGCAGGATGTGAAGAAGCTTCACAAGCAAATTCAGAGATGTTATGCAGAAAACCGCAAAGCATTTCATCCTGTGCAGGTATGTTTAATCAAGCTGAGCACCGACTGTATTGCCATATACAAAACATATGAGAAAGGCAGCTGTGACACAAGTGGTGAGAACTGTAGTAGAAAAAAATATTTAAGCTGCCTCTTTTTAATATGAAAGTTACTTCTATTGTAATAGATTAATTTTCAACCCACATGTTTATAAAAATCCCCATATATATGAAAGAGCATGTGCACGCAGATGAAGAGTGCCAGATACTGGTGAACCACTAAAATACTGTTGATACTCAGTTTTATCTGTGGCAGATTAAAAGAAAAAGGGACTGTAAGTGCATATTTGTCTTTTAAATGTGTCACTAACTATGAATATAGTCTTAGTACCACTTTTCGCTAAAAAATAATGAAGATTTTTAGCTAATAGTTAAGAGTAGAAAAAGTCTTGTACAGAGAGGCATATTAACATTTCAGTATTTTGTACTTCTTGTTTGTTCTTTTTGAAGTTTTACTTGACCAGCCATGGGGGACAGTTGAAGAGCAACATGAATGAAAATGACAAAGGATGGGTGAACTGGAAGGTGAATAATTGACTATTTCTGTAAAAAGAGAAAAAGAAATCTTGATTATAGTTGCTAACTAGGTTGTTAGTTGTGAAGGACCTGTGCTTTTTCCACATGGGTTTTTCTAAGACATCAGACCAATAGCGTATTAGAAATATTGTGGCTCTTTGTGTGCTTTTTTTAACTTAAATGTTGTGCTTAATTTAACTTAAATAAGCCAAAGACTGCTTGTCTTACATCTAGATTTGATTTTTGCTTTAAAAACTCCACACACATCCATTTTCACCTGTTTTTATTGAACAGATTCCATTCTCTGACAGACTGAGCAGGACTATTTGATATAGGCAGTTCTGACAGTCATCTGTCTTGATGGTGCTCTTTCTTTTTCTTGGCAAAAAGTAAAGACTTTGAAGTCATTATGTGATTCTCGTGTGTGCACCTTCACTTCCATTATGCTGCCTCTCAACACTGAGGTGTTCTTTAGAGAAGTAGCTTGTCTTGTGGTCAAACTCATGTGGTTTTCCTTGTGACTGCCTGTTAAACCAGTATTCCAGCAACTTCAAATGAAGAGCACTTTGCGTAAATAAAACCGGTTCTACTTTCAGCATGTCTTGTGCGATAGCTGCTTTGCAAAAGCAAAGCACAAACCTCTCTTATCAAAACAAGTAACATTAACTAGGCATTCACTTCTAGTTTTGCTTCTTTTAGAAAGGTGGACCCGAAAATTATTTGGATTCCTAGGAGAAGTACGGTAGCATTTGAAAGGAGTCACAAGAACTTACGGATTTGTAAAGTTCTTCTGGGGGTTTCAGAAAATTTCCTGATGAATTTTACAAGTCAGTGCTGTAGGGACTGTGGATTATTTATGCAGAAGTCAATCTGCACTGTGCTACGTACTTAAACGTGCATGAGGGATGTGGAATGACTGCATACTGTTGGGCTTTATTTTTGCTGATTCTGTCTTGGGTCTGTAAAGCTTGCACAGTAATTCATCAGTTAAATGTAACTTCTTTTAACTACCTTTTTTTGAGGATATCCAAATTAGAACAGAGCACTATAGTGAGCTAATGAAGAAAGAAGACCTAGTATATCTTACCTCCGATTCCCCGGACGTTCTCAGTGAGCTTGATGAGAAGAAAGCCTATGTGATTGGAGGGCTGGTGGATCACAATCACCACAAGGTAAACTGTGGGTCCATTTCTTTACAGCGCTCTTTTTTTTTTTCTTCTTTTTTTTTTTTTGGCACCTTATTTAACATTATTGCTGTTCATGCGTAAACTAACAAAAATAAATAACAAGAAAACTTCTTCAAAAAAGACTTACTTCAAAAAAATTTTGAAGAAATGGGAAGAAAAACTTGTGAAGGTAGCAGTGCTTGTGTTCCAGACTGCAGACGTGCTGAGCTCTGTAGGATTTTATCTTTTCATTTTAAATATAGGAATGGAATTAATAACACTGCTCATCTTACTGAGGGCCGTATTTTCAGACAGAAGGGTTTGGTTTCTGTTCATGCATTTGTGTGTGTGCACGCGCGCTTGTATGTGCACATGCCCAAATATGGATGAACAGCACTTGGATCTTGGATGTCCTTTTTTAATAAGTTTGCTTGTCAGGAGAACTTGGTGAAGTAACACACATGCCTCAGGGATCTGGTTCCATACCTTTATGTGGGATCGTGCTGTGTGGACCTTGAATGTCATAGAGAATTCAGCCAGGAAATTAAAGCACTGTTACGGCTTCTCTCCAAAGACACTCCTATGTAATTTCTGGTGACATGTTTAATAATTCAATGTGATGCTAAAAAAAGGGATGGATCTTAAGCCTTACCAAATGATGCTGCAGCAATTAGTCCACAGTTACAAGCTAGGAGGGAGCTAAAGCAGATCCTTTATACAGTCATACCATAATGAATTGTTTACACAATATTAAAGGGGTTAATTTTTGCCCATCTTGAGCACAGGAGCTGCCAGGTTTAAAAAAGCAAACAAAATTTCTTTATCCTTTACTCTTCCTGTCAAAAAATATCCAGTTACTGCAATCTGAGTAACTTTGTTCTTAGGTATAAATTCACCTTTAAAACAGGCTATAGCCAACACGTTCTAGAGCTGCAGCTGCATGAACAAGTTTTATTTATGATCCGTTTGACTATACGTCACAGTGTGACATATATTCAAAGTAGTTAGTTTTCCAGAGGCAGCCCCTGAAGCAGGTACTGTCTAACCAGGGTAAGATTCTTTTTGTAAATATCTTCTCAAGCAAGATTATGACAGCACTTGCAAAACTCTTGCCAGCAATTGATACTTGTAGTAATCTGTATGGGCTGATCTGAAATGGTGATTCTCAGTCCAGTTGTTTCGGTGTCTTTCCCGCAGGGAATTACTTACAAAAAAGCTGTAGAGCAAGGAATTGGTCATGCACAGCTCCCGCTTGGAAACTTTGTCAAGATGAACAGTCGTAAAGTGTTAGCTGTCAATCATGGTAAGTTTTAAATCACAAAATAATGACATTATTATAGAATATACCTGAACCCTCAAAATGTGCATTATAGTGCAGATACCCGATTCTTATTTTATTATGTTGACATTTCTTGAATCTAGTTGCCTTTGGGATACAGTGATGGCCCTGACCTTTAAATATTTTAGATATGGCTAAACGTAAAGGATGGTGTCTTAGCCACTTAGAAGTGCACCTTCTGTTCTGTTGACTTGTCCCCGTGAGTAATTTTGGCATTCTCACCATCCTGGTCTTGTTTCCAGGCTTAATGTGTAAGTGAGTAAAATGTTGGAAACTATCCCATGTATTTTGTCCCAGGGGAGGATAAATGTATGTGATGTTTTCACCTCTTTGGACAGCTTTGTTTGGCAGTAACTGCTTAGGTACCTGTAGACTTGCTTCATTTGATATCAGCAGTACTCCATCTGCTGAGCTTTCATAACTGTGTTTTTATCTGGTTTCCTGGTTCTGACTGAAGTATACAGTTGCTTAACCAAGTCTTGAATCCCACTCCTTTTAAACTTTCAATTTATTATTAGATTATCTTTCAGTGTCATTAAACAAAAATACATGCAAAATGGAGCCTACTTAGACCTTTATGGAAGTTTTTTACATGGTATCCAAGTCTTTATTTTGCCCCACTTCATATTCTTTTATTTTATCTTACCTTGCTTTGTTTCAAGTTTATCTTATTATGTAACACATTGCTCGATGATAATTTTATTTTCTTAAAATGCCATTGATTGATGAGGTGTGTATTTGCATTATAATAAAGATTATTTAAACATGGAGGAGAATATAGTGTATCACTAAAATTCAAAATTATCATACCCCATGTATTTGTAAGAATTTACATGTTTTTAAAACTTGATCTTTAAATGTTAACTTTGTATAGACAAGAATAGGACTTTCTCATCAGAAGTTATGACAGCTGTACCTTTCTACTGGAGTTTTTCTGCAATAATCTTATACTGACCTCTAGTGTCAACATTTCTGGAGGCAGTCCTCTACATGTTTGAGCACTGGGTATAAACTGGATCACTTACACTGAGGTTTTCATTTATCTGCTTAATGGTCTTGTGCGTGTTTCTTGTGCCAGACTTTTAGGCACTGATTCCACTGCAGTTTAGTTGCTGAGACTTCATTTTGTGCGAGCCTGTCTTCCTTTGCCCTTCTAAAACATTTTCAAATTGCAGCTGAAAGGCTCTTAACACACAGACCCTTTTTAAGGTAACATTATCCTATAGCAGTATTTTGCTTAAGTTTTTGGGGCAGAAAAATTAACACAACTCCACCACCACCAAAAGCAGATGTACCTTTAACATTTGTAATTAAGGCTCTGGTGTATATTCTAACCCTTAATAGCTCACAACCTAAATCCAAAAAGACAGCTTTCACAGGAGCTGCTCCTTGGCATGAGTAAGGTGGACAGCATCAAGCTGCCTCTCAAATCTCATATTATCAATTTTGTGTAGGTGAGAAGGACATTTGCATTGTGATTTTTGAATTTTGCTGTGAATACATCCACCTCACTGCTTTGTGTCTAACTGTGTAATTGCTCGCCCTTTCTGTTTTGATATGGTTATTCTGGCCTCTGCGTTCCCATCCTCAGTGCTGAAGCTAGCACAGTACAGTATGGGGCTCGCCAGATGAGACTGTGGGACCTGCCTGGTCCCTGTGGAACTACTTTTGATAGGTGTGAATTTGGAAAGTCTTGTAGAAGAAACTTCCTGAACTGCCTTGTCTGTCTTTGAAGTGCTTTAATTCAGAGGGCCCTCTGCTGGTGGGACATGAACGGCGTCATTAACAGGGGAATTTGCCTGTTGCTTTGTATTTATTTATTTATAATCCTTCTCTCTTAGGATCAAGTCTCCATATATTTACACAGGCAGTTCAGTGCCTGCATTGCCATGTTAAAGTGGTATGAGGAACACATGTACATGTGAAATATTTGATGCGAGAAAACTGACAAGGTGTAAGATGAGATTTATTTTTTTTAACTCAATCTGGAATTTTAAAACTCAGGAATATTTGAGATCTGTGTGAAAAACACTATTGCAAAACATAACTGCAAGTGTAGCTGAGAGAGTTTGTTTCCTTCTGTTCAGCTTTGTATCCCAAGGGTAATACTTTGTAATCTATGTTATAGGGACCATATTGCTCCGTTCCAGTCTACACTGATGTCTGTTCCCACTGCCTTTTTCTGTCCTTGCATAATATTTTTGTTGCTATTGCAGCCAGCCCATCGTAGAAGCCTCTGTTCTCCTGTGGAAGCCACTCTTTTTCCATTGTTTCTGGTTTTACTATGCAGATAAAGGAGGTTGCAAAGCAAAGGAGAAGAAACATGCTCCTTATACTCTTCTTGTCTCTTAACCCAGCATTTTGGCCACAGATGCTTTCTGAAGTAACTTACAATGATAGTAATATAGTCCTCTGAGAGGTCATACCTTTACAGTACATTTCAGGTGAATAACCTGCGTAGCAAAATGGCCAGCTCTTCAATGTCAGTGTCACAGGGAGCAGCTGGCTGTCCAGTAAACCTGGATCCAGGAAACCTCTAGTAAATGTGACACTTTTCTGTAACTTGACTCTCAGTGAGTATGAGATCCATGCTGCTCCTCCCTTTCTGAATGCCTGCCTAACTCTCTGAAAGGGTTTTTTCTTTCCCTCCACAGCTCCTTTGATCCTTTCTCATATGCTGTCACTTGGCATCGAGAGCACTTGTGCTGGGTGCGTTCTTTGAAGTCAGCATTCTCCAGTGGTGTTAGCACTATTCCTGTAGCCCCAAGCTTGAGGAGCCACCCCTCTGTCCCAGATTTGTCATCCAAGTCTGGCTTACTCGCCAGCCATAGGGCCTCCTCCTGCCTTCCCTGCTGCTGCTGAGCCACAATATGTGTTGAGAGGTTTTTTGGATAGCCTGGGATTTTTTTAAAATAAGAATTTGCCAATTAATTTTGCATATAATGCAATTTGGAGCTATTGTCAATCAGGGAAAGTTTTGAGAACTGAAACAGGAGGGGTAGGGTGACTGTATGCTTAGCCTAACAGAAACAGCAAGAAAGGGTCACAGAATTGGAGACTAATAAGGATTTTTGCCATAAGCTTAGAAGGAAATGAAAGTTAATTATAGCAGGTTTTAGGAAGACTTTGGGCTGTCTATATGTTAGGGAGGGGACAAAGTAATTATTAAAGTGCATTCATAGCAGTATTCTTGTCAAACATGGGAAAACATCAGTGCCTGTATAGAAGGCATGGGTGGGACCTGAAGTACTGGGGGAACATTTCTCTCTGTCCCTGAGAGAAATTGATTCAAATTGGAGCCGATTCAGAAAAGCACTGTGTAGTAACTGTCTTACAACTGGAGACCCAAAGTGTGCTTGGCTTTAGACTGCAGCAGTAGCAGAATTGCCTTGTCTGATTCTGCCTGTACTTCGTCAGCTTTACTCTGAAGATGCCACAACCAAGTACCTGTAAAACTCTGTAAAGATGGGTTTGGGTATGTGTTCCTATCAGTAATTCACTTATCTCCCTGTAAAAGAGCTGATGGTCTTTCTTGACGTTGCAGTGTTTGAGATCATCCTTGCATACCTGGAGAAGAGAGACTGGAAGGAGGCCTTTTTCAGTGTCTTGCCACAGCGGAAAGGGGCTGTTCCTTTGGGAGAAGCCAATGATTCATCCAAACACACCCCGTCTGGAAAAGAAGACGAAGACAATGACTCGGACAGCAACTAGGCTTCAGAATGAGATGTTGGGAAAGATGAGACATGCAGTTCATGGGATAAAACTGGGATGTGAAGTAGTTAGACTCCAAAGACCACCTACTGCCCTTGTCACACTGAATTGTCTCAATGCACGGTAGTTCCGTAGCTGGCCCAGAGCTGTTTCTGGACATGAAGGGTAAAGATAAATGCAGGTTTTTACCCTGAAACTTCCATATCAATAGCTTTTTTAAAAAATAAATTAATGGCAAATGCAGAATTTATTTTGTTTCCCAAGGAAGCTATTTAATTTTATTTTTTTTAAATATTATTTTTTTATGCATAACAAGTTGGGTGTATTACCCAAGAGCATTAGTAATTACTATTTTAATGTATGCATTCTTCTCCATTTCTGCTCTAGGTTTTTTTAAAAGCAGTGAATGACAAGTGTTCCTGTGACCTCAAAACCTGTACCACTAGTGCCTGTTGCAAAGTGTGCATGAACACTCAAAACAAAAATTCTAATTTCCCTGAGCATCTCAACAGATAATCACAAGCAACTGAACCGCCCTTATCAGCTGAGCCGCACTGATTTATATGCTGTGTTTTGTTAGCTGGGATCAGTAGATGAAATACGAGTGTTGGGTTAAGCCACTGCTTTATACTTCAGTTTGAGTGAGATGGATGTCTGCACAAGTGCAAATTGTGCGCCTTGGTTGGTACGTGGTGCATGCTGAGTTGAGGTGACACAATCACTTTTGATTACTTCTTGATCACACAGTCTCAGAACAATACCGAGAGACGGGAACTCTTTCTTACAAGTCGCTCAGTTTCAGTATACCTGTTATATCATGTCATCCTGTATGTCTTGTATTGTCTGTCAAATGTTTTTCCTTTAAAAAAGTCATAGTCTCAGTCTTGGCTGGAAGTTCTGATTCAACTTATTTCTAACTGACTGAAGTGCTTTTGCAGAGTACTGAAGGGAAACCTTGGCAGTGTGGCTTTGCTTCACCCCTGTGAGCCTGCCCCATCCGGACTAGCCAGGTAGCTGCAGCTGCCGAACCAGTGCAGTTTTCACATAGGTCAGTTGAAGAGCATAAGAACACATCATTGTAACTGTTCATCTTAGAGCTGGAATCAGAGGCCTAATCCAAGTATGACTTGGCTTGTATCCATTTGTATTCCTCCCTCTCTTATTACTGCTTTCAAATGGCGTCTAGTCCCTATGGTCTGTAAAGGGTTGGCAACCAACTGCTTATGGCTTTATACGCTCAGTGCACTCTCTCTACTTTTCAAATAACCATAGAAAAGCTGCTTCTGTTAAAAGGATGGACTGTGGTTTGTTGCTCAAGTAATGTGGGGAGTTTTATTAGGCTTTACAAAAATGTGATTGCTTTTGTTCCAGAAACTAGATCAGATTTTTCATAAAAGCATTGGTGTTTTTATTTCCCTAACAAAAAGTGCAGCATAAGTATACCCATCATGTATTACAATGATTCTCTGATATAAATGTGTAAAGCAGTAAAATTACAAGGAGTTACACTTTTACAGCTGAAGTTATGCGTGTTAATGCACATAGCACCTATTAAACCTGATCTAAGACTATTCAGTCTCTCTAAGGTTTTCTTAAGACCATTTTATACATGTGCCTCATTTACTCAGGCTTGAGAGTGTAAGAGCAGGTCATATAGACAAACTGGGGACTTTGGAGACATTGGAAAGGCTCCGAAAGCATCATATGGAACTGTTTTGCTGACAAAGCATTTTTGTGGTGTGAAAGAAGTGTGTTGCAGCTGAAAACACAGCCTGTCTTACATCTTCACCAGTGGAACTAGATAAGCACACACACCCATGCACGTGTTTTTAAAACAAGCAATTGCAAATCTGAAGCTTATCTGTCTGTGGAGAAATAGAAGAAAAAGATGGTCTGCATGCTGCTCTTGGAATGCTCCTAGTGCTGATTCTACAAGGTCACAGCAGCTTGGTGACTAGCTGTTGCCTGTTCGTACACATTGCTTGTCTCAATCACCCGGTCTTCCTGTCCTTGCTGATGCCAGTAATTGCCATTGCTGCTGTTTACCCTTTCTCTGTTTGTGCTAACCTAATGAGGTCACACTAGGCTGAAGTTGTCTCTACAGGATGCTGTCTTCGGGATGTGTTTAACTGGTGAGATGGAGCAGTAAGCAAGAGTAGACTGGGGTCTTGATGGGCACAGCCCTCTGACTAGTGCTGCCATCCTCAGCCTTTCAGTATGCTACAGTTCCACAGCTGTCTAGAAAAGGCTGTTCTTGGCAGACCTGGACTCGCACCGATGAGATTGCTAACTCTTTTCTAAATGCTTTAGTGGCTTGGCTTCATTGGTGAAATCACCGGCACTAGACACGGTCGTACTGGAGTAAAGTGGTGATTCACCTTCAGGCAACGGTCTGCAGATATGCAGAAGTCCTCAGGGAGAAGTGACAGTTCAAGAAGCCCTGAAGGGTCATTCTTGCAATGAGTTCAATGTAAAGTTATTGATGAAAATAGTTGAATTGGATGGAGCACATGAAAGTCACCCCAGCATCAGATCAAGTGCGAGAAACTGAAACCTGTTTGTGAGAGATTCTGAGAGAGTAGCTTATAAAAGCAAGAGGGCTTGTGTGTTGTTTATGACACTTCCAGTCCCTGCCACAATGTCAGAGCACCTCACGACAGACCAGGAAGGTGTTCCTCCTGTCTTTCCAGTGCCTTTTTGCAGTGTGAAAGTGGAGGCTTGTAGGGTGGCCATTTGCTGACATCCCTGGGAAAAGCAACCCGGGCAGTCTTGGTCTTGTGCTGTATTTCACTCTGATCCTGGAATACATACTCTGAAATACATGCTCTGATGTATTTGCAGGCTGTGTCCCTTTTTTTTTTTTTTTTTTTTTTTTTAACCCCTGAGTGTCCCTGGCTGCCTCTGTGATGAATAAGGGCATGGACTTCCCAAGTAGTACCTCCTACCTCTGCAGCAATGGGCAACTCTTTGAAAGCAGTCAAGTGACTAGAAATCTGTATGATGGGATTTGTGAGAAATGGGAGTCTGGCTTTCAAGTTCGTTTAATTGTAGTGAGGGGCCTCTAGGCATCCTAGGCTTTTCAGTATTTTTTATCTCTTCTTATCTTGAGGCAGGGAATATCTGTTATGTTTTTTCCTGTTTAATAGAAAACTGGTAGGCGGTGTGTTGGAGAAGACAGTTCACCCTGATTAAATTGTGCAATCCAGGTGTGTTACGTTATTTATTTTCTTTGGAGGATGCTGTTAGTGTGTTTCTCCTGGCTTTCTGCCATTGTCACATAGAACTAAAGTGTTACTTTACTTACCTACAGTGAAGAAGTTATAGTTGATAATAGTCAGTATTATTCTAATGCATTTTATTCTTAAATGCTTAATTAAATTGTTTTAAATGGTGGTACAGCTACCGGAGCACACCTCTTTGTTTTTTTCTGAAAGCTCTGAACACTTGCCCATATTTAATTATCATGATAAAGTGTGTAACTCATACTTATTTCTGTGTTCGCTGCACAATGCGAAGATTTTACGTATTTATTGAATGGGCCAGATCTGCAGTGACAGGGTAACCTCTCTGAAGAAGGATGGAAATAAATACTTGCAGAGGAATATTAGTTTGCAACCTGAGCACTTCACAAAGCATTTAGAAATACTTGACGTGGATTCATGACCATTTACATTGGTGTACTGTCTGAACCTTCTCTGTAACAGCAGACTGATCCTAAAAACTGCAGGCTCCCAGCTGTTGAGGGTAGGGACAAGTGATGGTTCGGAAGATGGGGCATCTAAATTTATTAGAGGATGTAGAAATGCAGCTGTCTTGCCAGAGTAGAAGGAGTCTTAAGAGACTTTTAAGAAACTTTCTCTTTAAGAAATGTTTAAGTTTCTCCATCCCTGCTGCACCCTGATGTAAGAATTGATTGTAAGAATCTGCTTCAGCTTCTGCTAGAGAGTCCAGGTCATAGATAAAGCAGGCAGGTGGGATCAAGGAAGGTGTCGGAGAATACATGCACAACTTAAGCTTAGGATGAAAACTTGACTGGGAAACAGTTGTATTGGGGAATGGCAAAGTTCAGGCTGGATCGACAGGTTACTGCTTATCTGAGACAGTTCCCAACATAAACAACTAAGTTTGATCTTGCGATTCACACATTGAACGTAGCCTTGTCTTCCCTTACTGCTAGGATGGGTGAAGTGCCCTTGAGCTTTGTTTTCAGGCATCTAGCAAATACAGTGCTTTGGGAAGGGAAATGATTGAGAAGGTGCAATTGACTGTAACTATCTTTGCAAACTATTGCTTCCCAACATAAACAACTAATTCTGATCTTGCGATTCACGCATTGAACGTAACCTTGTTCTTCCTTTACTACTAGGATGGGTGAAGTGCCCTTGAGGGAGCTTTGTTTTCAGACATCTAGCAAATACGGTGCTTTGGGAAGGGAAATGATTGAGAAGATGCAATTGACTGTAACTATCTTTGCAAACTATTGCCCTTCTGGCTTTGAGATGTTTGCTCGGTAACCTGTGAGCTTCCTGGAGGAAATAAAACTGTGCTGTTGAAAGACTGTTAACATGGTTGCTTTCATTTTGATTCTGTTCAGTAGTGAGCCTCTGAGGCCTTTGAGATTTAATTAAGGTTTTCAGGCTCAGCTAGCGCAACATGATGCTGAGAACAGCTGATAAGAAACATTCAGGACAGATAACTTATATGGAATTAAGGCAATCTGAGTATGGTCCAAAAGCTTTGGTTAAGTGTCTGGCCCATTCAATAAGTCATTACCACAGCTTAGTCTGTGTGTGGTCACTCCACCCTGCTATTTGGTTTCCAGTTCACTTGGTTTCCAGTTTCGTTTCCAGCTGACTTCGTAGTGTTCACACCTAAGACACAAGGGAGGTTTCAAAGCACTGCCAGCTCCTCTCCCACTCGAAGCTCCGCTCCCATTTACTGTGGCCTGCAGGCTCATACTCTTGCACAGCTGTATAGAAATTACATATCTGGGAAACTGATACCCATCTAAATAATTTTGTACAAATGAGTTTCTGCATCTGTGGTCTGAGCTGGCAAGTGGACCTGAGTAATGACAGTGCTGCATGACCGGCCTTCTGCCGGCCATTCACAGATACTCTGTTTGTCAATCTGTGGCTACAGGTTGCTACATGCTCAGGTTGCTTCATGTGGTTTTAATGTTCGTTTGGTGTCGTCCTGTCCCATCCTTGTCCATCATTCCCACCCCTCATTGGATACTACAGTTTGTGATGCTTCTCTGCTAATAATGAGAGCTATGGAAGCCAATTCTAGCTTGCCATGAGGCAGACATCTGCACTCTGCAGGCCAGATTTTGAAAATCCCTGTGGTTTTCTTTTTCACAGTGCCTAGGGCTTGACATGCATCCCTGCAGATAATGTGTGTGTTCCCCTCTTCTTACCCCGATATGTCTGTGACAGTAGAGTCAAGTCTGCACACGGGAGCTCTTTGTGCAGGCTTGCCTGAGTCACGCAAAAAGATGAATCAAAAGTGATGCCTCTGTCCTTTTTTTCACTTAGCTCACTTCTCATGTACCTATGCAGCATGGTTTGGTTGAATTGCTTGAGGACTGAATGTAATGAGTATAAAATTATTTTAACAGAGAGTCTGAACAAATATCTTTATAATATAAGTGCTAAGATTACATATTTCTTTATGTGAAAGTGGCTGGGAAATGCTTCAGTGGCTCTGAATAGGGTGGCCTCCACTGGAAAGGGGATATCTATTGTTTGGGGGTGGCTGTGGCACAGGTGAGACTCCTGATAAGAGTGCGAAGGCAGGATGGTCTCTTGTTTCCATAGCACTTTCTCAGTTGCAGTTCTTCCCTGGGAACAGTGCGTCTGCTTGCGCTGGACCTTGCTTTCTCGGTGTTGAGAGCAGACGACTTTCTTCCTCCCTTTCTGGAAAACATTTTGAAAAGGAAGCTGTATATTACCCGGCTAGATTTAAGATTATTTAGACTGGTTTGGCTTTGTTTCATGTGCAGCGAGAATATGGAAGCACATACACTCTTTAGCAAAGAAGCCTCCCTGGACACCACTTTGAAAAGTAGAGATTGTTGCTTTGGATGTTTCTTTTTTTTCCTTCTTGTTCTTATGTAAGTTTATGCTTCACCCACTCCTCCAATAGAGTTACAAACAATAGTGAATGCTGGTAGCACTAGAGTTGGCATGAATGGCTTTCTTAAAATGATAACGTACTCTGGGACTGACTTTTTTTGCCCCTGCGTGCTTCAGAAGGGACACAATGAGGTGATGGGTGTGTTTCTTGGGAGTGCCAGTACTGTTGGCGCGCGTCTGCTGTGCTGGACTTCGCTTTCTCAGTGTTGGGAGCAAAAGACTTTCTTTCTCCCTTTCTGGAAAACATTTTGAAAATGAAGCTGTATGTTATCAGGCTAGGTCTAAGATTATGTTAGACTGGTTTGGCTTTGTTTCATATGCAGCTGAGAGTATAGAAGCACATACACTCTTTAGCAAAGAAGCCTCCTTGGACACCACTTTGAACAGCAGAGATTGTTGCTTTGGAGGTTTCTTTTTTTTCCTTCTTGTTCTTATGTAAGATTATGCTTCACCCACTCCTCCAGTAGAGTTACAAACAATAGTAAATGCTGGTAGCATTAGAGCTGGCATGAATGGCTTTCTTAAAATGATAATGTACTCTGGGACTGACTTTTGTTGCCCCTGTGTGTTTCAGAAGGGACACAATAAGGTGATGGGGGTGTTTCTTGGGGAATGCCAGTACTGGGTAGAGGATGCAAAAGTGGGCTTTGGTAGCTGAAAAAGTCTGAGAAAGCCTGATTTAGCCTGCAAAGAGTGAGGGAGATATGTTAGATGAGGGCAAATCCCATTGGCAGAAGGAGTTTCAGGTTGTGAAGCTTACAGGAGCAGATTTTCGTGAAGAGATTAAATCAGTACCTCTTGCTGCTATGTTCTTTCTAGCACGAGGCAGATGCAGTTGTACACATGCCCCTCACCTTGCTGCATTTCTGAGTTGCACCAGTTAGAAGATTTACATGAATGTTGTATCAAGAGAAACCAATGGAGTGGCCACATGGTCTTAGGTACCTAGGTCTTAGAGAACTTAAATCCAGGCTTTAAATGTAATTTCTCATCTTGTCACAGAATTCTATGATTCTAATTTGGGTCCGATGAGGGAAATATGTTAGATGAGGGCAAATCCCAAAGTTCATTGGCAGAAGGAGTTTCAGCTTGTGAAGCTTACAGGAGCAGATTTTGGTGAAGAGATCAGTACCTCTTGCTGCTATGTTCTTTCTAGGAAGAGGCAGATGCAGTTGTACACATGCCCCTCACCTTGCTGCATTTCTGAGTTGCACCAGTTAGGAAAAGATTTACATGAATGTTGTATCAAGAGAAACCAATTGAGTGGCCACATGGTCTTAGGTACCTAGCTCTTAGAGAACTTAAATCCAGGCTTTAAATGTAATTTCTCATCTTGTCACAGAATTCTATGATTCTAATTTGGGTCCTGCTGCTAAGTTAGAGCTTCTGAACATTCACAGTCCCTGTGCTGTTTGGTGACTAGCATCCTAGACACATGGTTCTTAACATTTATAGTTTCCATTACTTACCCTGTTTCATGTTTTGACTTGCCACTGACTCTTTAGCTGAAGACCTGAGTGAAAAAGAAAGAACGTCTAACTTCAAAACTGGTATAAACTATCCACTGCAATATAGAGGAGGTTTTTCTCAAAGGGTTTTTGAGTGCTCCTAAAACTTTATGATGTTCCTGCAATAATTACATTTGTATCAAAGGGTGGGGTAGTTAGGAGCTGAGTGGCCACATGGTCTTAGGTACCTAGCTCTTAGAAAACTTAAATTCAGGTTTTAAATGTCATTTCTCATATTGTCACAGAATTCTATGATTCTAATTTGGGTCCTGCTCCTAAGACAAAAGTTAGAGCTTCTGAATATTCACAGTCCCTGTGCTGTTTGGCGACTAGCATCCTAGATACATGGTGTCTTAACATTTATAATTTCCATTACTTACCCTGTTTCATGTTTCGACTTGCCACTGATTCTTTAGCTGAAGACCTGAGTGAAAAAGAAAGAATATCTAACTTCAAAACTCGTATGAACTATCCACTGCAATATACAGGAGGTTTTTCTCAAAGGATTTTTGACTGCTCCTAGAACTTTGTAATGTTCCTGCAATAACTACATTTGTATCAAAGGGTGGGGTAGTTAGGAGCATTTTTTATTAAGTCTGTGCTTGATAAACTTCAATCAGAAAGTTCCATTTTTCATGGGAGGAGAAAACAAAAATTTCTGGTTATAAGGTTTAGCTTATCCCGAATCCTAGCAACCTCACTGCAGATTTTACCTGGACTGAGTCATTTCCCTTTCTGGACCTCTCTGAAGAGGAGGGAGAGTCTTCAGCAGACTCGGGCTATTCATGTTCTCTTCTGGACATTCCTTAGAATTCAGCACGCCTTTGTCAGTCAGTTCTGCGTAAATCAGACTGGACACGAAGTCTTTCTCTGAAATGTGAAAGTAGCAGAAATTTTATTAAAGTTCCCACTTGCTGATCTGGATGTTTAGGGGTAAATTCAGGAGTTCCCTCACCTCCTTTTCAAAGGCTTTAAGGACATGAGAGAGACGTTTTGTTTGTTTTCCGCCTTCCCCCAGCCCACAGCAGCCCAGAGCCCCGCTGGGAGAGCAAGTTTTTGCACTTCCACCACACCTGAGCGCACTGAGATCTGAGCGACTGATTTCTGTGTACTGTCACCTTACTGCTCAACACAGCCACAGCTGGGCCGAGCACACTTCACTGGATCCTATTCCTTCCACCTCAGCAACCCCACTCAGTTCAGTCTATGAGAATTTCAGGGTTTTCTGTGAATGTATAAGAGCGCGCGCTTTTCAGAAAGCAGTTGCATATGTTTGTTACCTTTTTTACCTGCCCTTGCAAACCATTGTTGGATCTCAGTAAGTGAATCTGTCTGCAAAATTTTGCTGAGTTTTTCCAGCACCTGGAAGATGTATGGGATAGTTACCACGAAGGAAGAGAAGCTGATTTGTGACAGTTTTTGCATGTGTTTTGATTTAGCTCTAGCTGTGTGAGTGTGTGGTTTTCCAGCTGTGCAAGTTGCCTAGCCTAAGACATCTCATCTGTTTTGCCACAGTGTGAGCTAAGGACACCAGTCTGCAAAAGACGATGCTGAGTGAGTGCCACATACACAGTACTTCAGAGACACCATAAGGAAATCCTAAGCAGTGTTTACTACATACGAAGCCCCTTGCACGTGACATGTCATATTTACAGGCTGGTTTTTTAGAGAACAAGTTTCAGCCATGTGCTAGCTGCATTGCTCCCCCAGTGATTGCCAATAAGAACTTCCAGTTAGGTGAAAGCAACTCAAGAGTGAATGCTAAATATAAAAGTCAGTAGACTCCACGCTGGGGCAGCAGGGGGAGGGAAATCTGGCCAATAAAGTCCCACACCATCCTCAAGAGAAATAAAAATGTGTAACATGATAGGAAGCCATATACTGTAGCACTCATGTCTTACCTTTATGTCCTGATCCAGGTAGCTCAGGTCAGAATTCACATTCTCCTGGGTGCGAGGACTGTAATGCGAGTTGGCAAATGGAGAGGAAGACTGGGTGAGAGATGCGACGTCGATTCCGTGTCTGTTTGCAGGTTGTGCAGAGGCTTGGAATTGTTTTTTCAAAAGCTTTTCAAAAATAGAAAACAATGTGTAAAGGAATGGCTTGACTCCATTTAAGCAGCAATTAAGAGGCAATGTGAAGTATATAGCCCACAGCAGGGGCATGCAGCAGAAAACACATCTAAAACTGTTACTCAATTGAATATGACCACCTGTAGGTTAATTGCCTTGGTTAATCATTACAGCTTCTAATATACAGTCACCAATAATAATAATAGATATCCGTGGCATAATGCATAATGTTGGATGAGAATGAAAGTGATGCCGGGTAACTACTGGTGGAAATCAGTTAAGGAAGGGATTAAATCTGGACCTCTGTGGTCTGTTTGCTTTTGCATCATGGGTTTGTAGCCTGCTGTTGAGCCACTGTATTTCTCTGTGTGCAGGCTTCACCAGTCTACTAAAGACCCAGGAATCAATGTGGTTTGCAGAAGATTCTGTTTGTAAGTGCAGAGGAAAAGCAAAAGGCAGCCAACAGCTATTAAGAAACAGTAGTTTAGTGAATGTGGCCATATGGCAGTCCATTTTGTAGTTATTTTGCAGCCAAACCACAGCAAATACAGTGTGAACTGTGTTCTGAATGTGTAAGTGAACAATAAAAATAAAGCATGGTCTTTATACCCAGCTGAGGAACCAAAGAGCAACATTTAGACAGACCCTCACCCCCCAGTTAAAATAGAAAAGTTAAGAGAAAAGTGAGTCCTTATTTTTAACACCTTTACTGCAACATGTCTTCGTTGTGCCCTCTGTTGTCCAGTACCAGTGCAGCAACACTTGCATTCCCTTTTTCTCAAGAGCCTGCAACCCTTGTGATACCATTTGTAATGGAATACTAATTTAGCCCTCAGCTCTTGTACAGTCGCAATAGAGGAGACAAGTAATTGGCTAGCCTGCAGCTTGAGACTAAAGAGCTAGTGCAGAAAGAACCTTTTACTGGAATTTGTGAATACAGCTGCAAAATTGGATTTAATCCCCAGTGTGCTGCTTCTGCAAAACAGTGTCAGCAAAAGTAAAACTGTTGGCAGTGAGTAATCTAAAGAATCTTTGTGTTGTGAGGGGAGGAGGCTTTTTCCTGTGCTTTTTTATTGTATAGTATGGTGGGCTTTCCCCAGCAATTTGAAACAAGTGAATTTTATTCCCATCTTCATTGGGTTTGACTTTTCCTTGCTAGCAAAGCACAGTGACATTACAGAGCTGAAAGTGATACAGCTACAGCTTGGTTATCACTCCACTTGACACCATCTCCTTTCCAAGCTTTCATGTTCTACACGTGGGATCCTCACATCCCTCTTTTTGGTTCCGCACTGTCCTCCTTAGCAGCCTGAAACTGTCAGTTCAGGTTACAGTGTTGAGAAGTGAGAGAAAGCGTGCCAAAATAAAGAGCTGTGTCTCTTTTTCCCTTACCTTTTCAGATGAAGTAGGCTTATTTTGAATCCCTTCAGGAAGATCTGCACATCCTTCTGGAAATCAACAGGCAGAGTGTTTTCTCAAGATGAAAAATAAAGGCAATAAGATACATCTTATGTTATATTGGCTCAGGGGGGCATTTTTAATTACAAAAAATGCACAGGCCATGGTTTAGATATCTCTGAGAAGGTGTATTTCTTTCCTTTTTTGGTTTTTTTTACTACCTTGCATAGTACATTAATGCAAATGTTTGTTGAGATGCCTAAGAAATCTGAACAAAATCCTGGAAAGTGTATTTCATAGATGCATGCTTACAGTGCTGTGTAACCACTACTGCAGAACGTTGTTTATGGATGGAATAATTGCTGACAATTGTGAAATTATTAGATGTCAGGTGAGTGTATAATCTCTTAAAAGCCATAAAGATGCAAGGGTAATTAGCGAGGAGAAATCTTGTAAGACGTGGTGACTAACACACATAGAAGGGAAGAAATACTTGCCTTTTAAATGTACCTTCATTGCCCTATGTTCCTTCTACCTGAACCTGAGCTGTGATGACACAGTGCCCTGGCTGAGATCCAGTTGCACCTTTAACAGCTCAGGTTCCTCTTCTGCTGCTGTATAATACGGCAGTTTGGTGCCTCTACTCACGTGTCATGGACTGTGAGCTGCCTAGCTCCCTTCGCATGAAACCCTTGAGCTTTGGAAGGTAGCAGTTGGCAGATGTGTTGCTTGTGGCCTTCCCAGTTAGCACATGTTCCTGATCAGCTTCTTGCTCGGGGATAGCTTTGTTGCCAGTAGATGAGTGTTCTCTTGAAAAGCTGCTTCTTACAACACAGACTGGAGCATTGTTTAATCCTGTGCAGAAAAACCAAAGGGTACAGTCTTTGCTACAATAAACATGTGCAGTTAACCTAGCAGGTGATCTCCAAGGAGAGTCTGTGCTGGAAGAATTGGAAAACAGGTATCAAATCTGAAATTTGTGTGTAATAATACAGGGTTTATGGAATGCTGTGTAAACAGTGAATAAGCTTGGCATACTTGTATAGATGGCAGAGGGCTGTAAGCAGTACGTTGCAGAGGGTGGTGTGATCAACCACTGCCTGAACAGTGATGATGTTCCAGATAAAATCTGGAGAGTGGCCAGGTAGGGTGAAGCACACTCATTTAGCAATGCCAATCAGATACTATTCCGCCTCTCTTATAAAGGTTGTGCTTTTCAGTGAGATTTAATGAAGAACTAGAATCCTTCTGTCTTAGCCAGGGTAAAAGGAATTTTATAAGCAACCACTATTTTTATCATTGATGTAAGTCAAATTGGATTTAACATAGCAAAGAAGCACTGCTATTAAGTACTTGATGAGGATTTTCAGAACCTGATTCTGTTTAGTACCTGACATAAGACAAATACTAAGCAGAAAGTAATTACAGCTAAACTTTACTCTCCTGAGAGTACAAAGTTATCTACCAAATTAATCTGGCTAAGCCATGTAAGACTTTGGTCTTTGCTGGCTGTGATCAGCTTGTCTTTTTTACCAGGTTCTAGAAAAAGAGAGAGATATACACAAAAATAGATACTTTATTTTTTGTATGTTCTATATTTTTACTTTAGGTAGATTTTATATATATATATATATACACACACACACACACATATATATATGTTGATCCTAAATGATTCTATGATTCTATGAGATATATATAAGCACACACAGAATTGTGTACATTATAGAGTGGGGTGGTGAATCTGAAAGGAGTCTTGCTTTGTTCCTTCAAAGGCATTCAGTTTTATTCAGAACTGATTTGGTCCTGCATCACCTTTCATCCCTTATTACGGAAGTTATATCACAGACTCATCAGCTACTGATACTAATCCTAATGCAGTATCTACTTATTCTAACAGCCCCCAAGGAACTCAGCAGAGGTTTTTTTTTCCCCTCATGACCCTTCTGTGCCTTCTGCAGTGTAAATTTGGCCGTGTATCAGCAATTTTCTTTCAGATGCTGCCAGAAAGATGTCTTTGTGCAAACATACAGGTTCAGCTTCTGAAAAAAGAAGCCCATCCTTAGAAGTACTATTTCTTCTGCAGAGGGCACGTTGATTTTGACTGTATTCCTTTCAGGTGTAGGCAGAGTAATCACAGATAGATCTAACATGCAGCGGGGCAGCACGGTGTTTTTAGAGCACCAGGTTACTCTTATTAAATGCTGAATTGTGTAATATGTTGCTGCTGGAGAAGTACAATTATTTAGGTGAGAGTGAAATGGAGAAAAAAATTGTGAAAACCTGTCTCTGGCACTCACGGTACACTTGTGAGCACATAAGGAAGGAGGAAGAAATTCTTTTAGCTTGAAAGAAATCCCAGTTGACTTAGCGAAATAGTTCTAGTTGTACCTTGTAAATAATTTAGTGCTGCTAACCTTTACATTACCAACCTGAGATTTATTCATTGCTGAGGACAGGTAAAGATGTGTAGTAGATTGGAATGAAGATAACGGCTTTTTTGATGAAATGACAGAAACAGATAACGGGAGCAGTGGTACTTTTGAAACAAAATCACTTTGCACTCACATTTCTCTTCATGCTTGCCAGGGCAGTTGTCCAGGCTATCTGTGTGGTCCCTCAACAACTCTTACCTGGTATGTGACAGACCATCCTAGGGTGGGGAATGTTCCTGGAGAAGTAGTACTTTCCCCCTGAGCAATTGGACTGAGAGTAATGCCGGTTGTCCTTCCACATGTTGTGGTTGAACTGAGGTTCATACACTGACTTGAAATTGGTATTTGTTGTGTAACTTTTCTTATTCTCTTGCAGAGTGCCTTTCTGCAGAGCAGGTTGGCTCTTCCACTGATTGCCTGAGGCCAAACGCTGGAGGTGAAGTAAAGAACATGAACTCACATAGACTGAAAGGTAGCATAGAGGTCAATTACTGTTTTTCTTGTTATTTTTACCTCTTCCATATACAGTTTGGGGAAGTTGTAAGCACAGGAGCGTGGAAGCAAGCTACCTTCTGCTCCACTCCTAAGTAGTTACCTTGGGCAACCAATGCTGCTCATGGGCACTTCCCAGCAGCTTTTATTTCTTCGCAGTTTCTGCTCCAGAGCTCAGCCACTCCTTGCCATTCATATCTGAGACACCTTTTTGTAGTAATACTATACTGAAGCAGGGGGAACAGATTGCTTTCTGACTTGTGATGAGAAGTGCAGGGACAAGTGATGACAGCAAAGGAGATGTCCAGGCCCTTTTGGTTTCTATCTTTACTAAGGCTTGTGTATGCAGAGAGGCAGTCCCATGTCTTTTAACACTTGATGTCTATTCTAGATTTTGGTTCTAGAGGTTGAATAATAGACTAGTAGCTGTTATTACCATTAACTTGGTTTTTTTTTTTCCTTTCCTGTAGTAGCAGTCACTAATGTTCACAGTGTTCTTTGCCTCTGGCACTTGCTTTGGATACTCAGTACCATAATGTCTAAGACTGGAAACATCCTAAGAATGGCAGTTTATTGAAGGCACCTTGCAAATGTCACACAGAGGGGTGAGCTAATCTATTTCGTGGTGATCCAGAATCAAATTCATCAAACATAGAAATTCACCTGTAAGAGCTGCTGGCTCTAAGAGCCTGGATGGGCTGAGAACAGAACAAGCATTTGTCAGTTATCTGTTGGGGTCAGGAAGCAGCATATTTTAAGGACTATGTGGAGAGAAGAGGGTTGGAATAGGACAGGGCATCTTTTTAAGCAACTCCTCAACTCCTAATGTTTTGCAAGGTTACATTCTTATTCCATAACTACATCTGACTGGGGGAAAAACTCAAGTGAACTGACAGATTTTGCAATGTGCACAGAAGGTCAACAAACGTGAGGAGGGTTGCCCATCTGAAAACAAAAAAGTATAAATTCCAGAGTTGAAGGTCTTGCATTAAGGTCATCTTATGCCCTGGCAAACCAGCTGAGGCAAGGTCAGTGTTTGTCGCCTGTGAATCATCACATTTCAGGGCACGAGGAGGCAGGGTGGAAGCTACAGTTCATAGAAATGGTTTGTAGCTTATGGCAAGCTCATATCTTTTTTTTTTTTCAAATTTAAAATACTTGTATCTCCTGAGACCAAAAGTAAAAATACATGTCTTCTGATTTTGGTTGTAGTGGATTGATTGAATAGTTGAAAAAAATGAAAATGGCTATTTTGTGTAACAACCTGATTGCATTTGTATTTGTCAGCCAACTTTTATAACTTCAACTCAAAAAACCCCATTAATTGGGAGACTAGCTTTTCCAAAGCCCTGTAATTTTTTTTAAATGTGTAGTACTTACTGTAAAATATTCTCTCCATATGCTTAAGATTAAATGTTTACTCAAAATAGTGTACAAAGTAACTTGTAAGCACAGAAAACACTTTCTTTTTTTCTGGGGCTTCTGATTTTCTACATAATCCTACTTATGTTTTTATGTTAGCTACCTATAAAGGACTAATTATATCCAACTGGAGTTTTTAAAAATGAAATTCATGTGGGAGGATTCTCTTCTTTACTAAACTGTTTAATGGATTTTCTTCAGTAATCTAAACTATCTTGTAAAACACACTTTTAGAATCTCACCAGTTATTTAGCAACCTCAACCTCAGAGTATTACATACAATAATTGCTGGTTCAATATGGTTTGGGGATTTTAGCGGTGTTACTTTACCAAAATAGCAACTTAGGACATTGTTAATATTTAGATTAGTAAGATTAAATGCATCGACACCATGAACAATTGGATGTTTGACAGAACAATGTTAAAAGCCAGTACTGTCATTTTTATATTGTAGATAAAATCACACCCAAAATGTTGATTATCATTGCAGTACTCAAGAATACTTAAAACGCTTCCCATTTCCTTACGAAGGATGTGCGAGGTAGTTATTTAGAGTAGTCTTACATCTGACTGTGTTAATGGGCTTTCGAGACAAATGTAACTTAGGTCCTTTAGCCAGTTCTCAGTCTATACCTGGAAAGAGTCTAAGTGATGGTGTAATGGACAGAAAGGTCTAATTACCTGAGAAGCAGTGCTGTAGAGGACCTCCCGCTCGGCAGGATGCTAGGTCCACAGCGCCTTTCTGCTAGCGGCAGCAGGTAACATGCCCTGCTTCACGTCTTTCCTCGGGTAGGGGTCTTCAGCTGAGCAAGCAGTGGCCCAGCTTGTGTGCTGTGCCGAACAGCTGTGGCAGGCCCAGGGCTGATGATGCGGGGAGATTCCAGAACTGCTTCTGTTGACGCTTCTGAGCTGCACACCGCCATGGCAGCAGCACAGCCATGTCTTTTGCCTATTAGAGAGGGAAGAGCTTGTGTACCTCCAGCTCATCTTTTATGTTTTTAGCACTCTTCAACATTAGAATATTCATGCCCAGGAATAACGGATTTCTGTAGAGAATTAATATTTGCATGTGGATACAGAAAAAAGAAGCCATGCACAGAACTATAAAATCACCTGGCCTTGGGGTTTTGGGTTCAAGAAAAGTCATGCTTTTGGACAGGATTTTAGGGATAATTTTTTCTAGAGTAAAAATGCAGTGCTACATAGTTTCAACAGGTGAAATTGTCATCATCAAATAGGGTTAATGGTGTTAAATGAGTGAGCGTAAAAATGCATTTTCAGGCATTGACCAATAAAGATCTTAAATGTAGTCATGCTATTGCTGTTTGAATCTAGTAACAGGAAGAAAATCTAGAAATTTACATTGCAACGTGACCACTGGTTATTGCTGGAGATGTCTGCAATGGTGCTTTGCCCACAAAAATAAGATTCCTGCTACACTGAGGGTGCAACTCTAGTACACTTTTCAGGTCTCCTTAGAAATCCTCCAAGTTTACAAGTGTTATTATATAGACTCTGACACTAAGTCACAGGATATTTTTTGTGTTTCAGTTTCACAGTGCTTTTTGTCCCACTAGGGCACCATTGCAGTCCATTACCTTGTGGTCTCCAGGTGCAACTATTTCAGGACATTGTACCTGCAAGTGATTGATGCTCACTTAATTTTTTGTTGGTTTTAGTTTTGCAAGCCATCTTGGGAACAAAGAGCTTGGGAATAAAAGCCTTGGCTCTACGGTCAACAGTAAATTCATTTCAGTTTCTCATTGTGATTTTAAGGTCTTTTGCAGAAAAATGGGGCTCACACTTTTTGTACTCACCAGAAGTGGGAATACCTGGCTTTGTCCACGGGAAGTTGGAGAAAAGCAAAAAATGGAAGAAGTGCGAGGAGGTTTTTTTATACTTGGAGGGGAAAAAGGGGAGTGTGACTGGTGTGACTTTGTCATCACAACAAATGTTTGGATAACTTCCAGGCTAAGGTGCTATTGAATCTTTTCAAGAAGAGAAGGCAGCTGATAGCAGAAGCTCTAAGAAAGGGTCCATGCAGCTGCTAGCTTCTGATCCTGCAGCCCAAAATGGCCTGTTACCATTTGCTTTGTTGTAAGGCCCATGAAGATAAGAGGCTGTTGTGAATGCACAAAGGTAGCATGAAGCACAGGCTCATTTTGAGTTGTCACACATAGGAACACAAAGTGTCAGTATCCCTGGGGCATGCATTAAGATGTATATTTTGTTTCTGAAAGCACTTTTATCAGTTCTTTTTAAATAAAGCCAACAAGGTTGGCATGAAATTTTGGATCTACTTCCTCATAAATCCTCTGTGTCTATGGATGGGGAAGAGCACAAGAGAGCCAGAGTTAACAGAAAATACCTGCATCTTGCTACATGTTAGAGACAGTGGGACATTGTTGGAAGGAGGAATTCAAGAAATTCAAAGGATGTGGAAGGGACTGCAAGAAGTCTTTCATATTGCTGTTCAATTAATTTTCGAGTAAACTATGACAACAAAATGGCTTCCTGGGGCTCACGACTGTCTACCTACAGAACAGAGTGCAAGCTGCAAACCTTGTTTTTCCAGGATACTGCAGTTTTTTACAATTGCTTGGGATTTACATGTAGTTGTTATAAAAGCAACTTAAGCAAATAGCCAGCTGGACTCATTAAAAGGGAGATGCCATTAAGATCTCACATAGTGTGGTATTGCCTTTATACAAATACAGCAAATGACAGTGAGGTTCTGGAACAGCATTTTCCTGAGATGCCATACAAGGACCTTAACTTTCTTTGGTAAATTGATGAAAGGGATCATTTGGGAAAAGTTTTGGTTTTTCCAAAGCAGAGAGAGAGATTCATTTACTGGGAAATTCAATGTAATTCTGTGACTTAGGATGCCCATGGAGAGGTACTACTGCTGATGTTGCAAGACAGCAATTCATAATGTGTTAAATGCTAAAGAGATGATGACATATCTAAAGGGAGAATGGATGGAGTCAGGTGAAGGGTGGTAGTGCTAGTTGCCAAAGTTATGTGTTCTGTGAGGTTTGTTCCCTCGTTCAGCTCAGCCTGTTGACTTCAGAGAATGGTGAAAGGATGAAATATTATTAATGTGTTAGAATCTGCCAGTAATTCTGGCACTTTGCCTTTTCACGCTTTCCTTTCCCCAGAGCTGATCCATATTTATTCTGCTATAGTGCTAAAAGGAATAGCTCTTTTGGACATGTATTTTGTTGCCTTATGAAGAACATCTTCCAAATGTTAATTGAGGTTTGAATTGTGCCTGGGTCCACCAGTTTAGACAAAATGGATGATCTTAAGTTACTCTTGAAACTTATTCTTACCTAGCTCTTCACACCAGTTACGTGTACCATCTTTACCTTGGACTGCTCTCCAGTAGTCTGGGCTCACCATGAAGTCCTATTTTCAAAAGCCCAAGTCTTGTGGAAAGCAATAAAGATTTGGCACATAAGCTAGGTGGATACCTAGGGAAAACTCAGAACTAGGTATGGGGATTTGCATGTGCAGAGTATCATATCCAAGAATTTATGCAATGCTCATCTGTATAAGAAAACAGCTAAGATGTTCTGTAGAAGTGTAAAACTGAGCTGGACAATTAAGTTTTAAAGGTACATTAGGTCTTGCACCCAACTAGAACTCAGAAGTTGAGAAAGGTAGGGGCAGATACAGCCAAGCATTACAGATTTGTTTCAACTTTGGATCAAACAGCAACTGAAATTTTGAAATAAAAGGCAGGCTGGAAATGCTTTGGGAGTTATTGATAATTGAAAGAATTCTGGATTGGTGGCTGATTCCAAGAATTTCCTTTGATTTCAGGATTTGTTAGTATTTCTTAAAGCAGTGGTTCTGAGGAGGGGGTATCTTTGTGTCCATGGGAAGGTGCTTCTGAAAGACTTCTAGTCAAAGCTGGAGAAACACAGTATCTGTTCCAAAGTGGCATCCAACTTTTTGATTAAAAAATAGATTATAGAGTAAGCAGCTTTAGCTACAGTCCTGGTAGCAGTCCTGTGCAATGTCCTATGCAATTCAGAGGATTATGATCTACATAAAGATAAAGATCTACAATAAAGTAAAACCATGAACCACTTTGTTGTCCCCATTCCTACAATTCCCAACTCCAGCCCTATAGTGATACAGAAAGGAACATTCAGAATCATATCATAGAGATACAAAGATAACTTTATCAGTGCCAGATGTTCTTCAGGCAAAAGAAATACCATCTCTGGTTTTGATGCACTTGTGGCAGTCACTAGCAAAAATCAGTTTACAAGCAGAACAGCCTGGGACAATAAATAGCAACTGTGAGTAAATAATGACAAAACAAACAGAAATGGTGTATAAAGGCCAATTTGAGTAAAGTCTGTGATCTTTCTGTGTTCAAATGTCCCCAGGGTGTGAGGGGAAGGGCTGCTGTAACATTTTAAGATCTGGATCCTTTCATGAACTGCCAGTTGAAGACATTGCAAGGCAGTTATTATCAGTGCTTATTATCAATTACCTGCTGGTTCCTAATGCTGGCTGAATGCCATCATTTTATCACTCCTTTCAGGAATGGATTTAGTATGTTCAGTAATGCCAGATATGATTATTTGACAAGTAGGAACTTTTATTAATGGTGGTGGTTAAGTGGTTAAGTGTCCCTCTTGGTTCTAATTTCAGGCTAAAATCAGGAAGTAAATTGCTTTGCTTCTCTGAGCTTTTCCTTTCCACCTATTTATCTTACTGATACCTGACAATCATAATTGCATTGTTGATCCATAGATACCCTGGTGGTGGGCATAAAGCTTCCTCCACCTCCCCTTGTACAATGACGCACACAAAAAAGGTGAGGTGGGACTGAAAAGGAAAGCCAGCAGAGCTCTACAGGCAGCACATACAGCTGGCTTTGGAGGTCACTAAATGTATTTTTAATTTCTTTTGCATTTTGGATTTACATATTGTATGCAAGTTATAGCACCGGTTGGCACTCTAGTGTTGTGGCTTGCGGCATGTTTTTTAAGAAAGCACATTTATTCCTGTTTGCATCTACAGGCCTGGCTGTATTATCCTCAAGATTTTCAAGGTAGACGCACTTGCATATTTCAGGCGTGGACCACCAAAGCATTGAACTGGAAGCAGAGATGAATCGCTGTACTGTTTTATAATAGGAAAAGACATGGAATTAGTTTCTGATAACAGAAATAAATATTTATGTGCAGTGCTCGCAGGCATTTCTTAAAGAAAGATCCTTCTCTGAATCCCAGCTTCAGCTGTACAAACTTAACAAAACTGTAGAAAAATAGGCAGGGAAGTTCTCTGCTTTACCCTGCTGTCCCCAGGGAAGATCAGCTCTGGCATGCTTGTCTAACCAGATCTTACAGACCTCCAAGATGATGGTGCCATGCCACCTCCAAGCAATCTACCTTTTCTGCTATCCGTGCCCAGAGAATGTTTTTTTCTGAAGTGTAATTTGAATCTTCCTTGTTTCAGTTTAAGCCAATTTTTTCCCTGGCCACCATGGAGATGGAGAACAGAACATTAAAAAGAAAAGCTGCACAGAAGCTCTAGAAGGATATGATCACTGTGTTTCACCATTAGGCATCATTGCTCTGCTTAGGAAAGCTCTGATTTTCATCGCTGAGCTTTGTAAAGTTTTGGATACTGCCAGAACCATTACTCAGCAATCCTGGCAGCTGCTGAACAGCAGAATGCGTCCGGACACATTTACACCTGTCTAATAAAACATCAGAAAGGCAATAAAGAAGGTATGGCTGGATGGACCTGAAAAGAAAGTCTCAGAAGCAAGAAATATGAAGGGGATATGGCAGAAAGTCAAACCTTCTGGCTGAAATGGGCAAACTTGCTTTTAGCATCATGCTGCGGGGAGCTCACAGCAAGGTGCGTAAGTAAGCCTGTTGTCTCGTTCCCTTCTCACTGAGACTCAGTCCCCCTGGTTATGGGTGGGATATGACAGATCTACCAGATTTCTGAAGTACTGCAGGTTAGTGCACTAGACCCCTGCTTGTCCTTTTCCTGGATTCAGGTCAATTTTTCTTTGATTTGGTTTCCACACAAACTCCTGTCCCATGTCATATATGCTCATGGGCCCTATGTTTGCTTATGGAGCAATTGTGTTTGATTCTAGACTTGACTCTGCAGGAGGGCATCTGAATGATTTGAGTGAAAAAGAGCCTCTCTGAATACCCCCATCTGAGGGGCTTTCAGTCAATAAATTGGCCACTGGTGGTGTTTTTTGCAGTGTAAGCTGGCATGCTGCACAGGGGTGTAGCTGGCTGAGGGGATCCACACTGACCAGTTATTCCAAAAACCCATGTCAGCACCTCAGCTCAAGGCAGTCTTGGGGCAGTTTGACTGCCAGCTGCAGCTGGGACACTGGCTGTGCCCGCTCTTTGTGCCCCAGAGCTAAGGAGCTGAAAAAGGACGTACCCTGAAGCACAGCCTAGGGATATTGAGCTTGCCTTTGAAATATTGTTGCCTACTGGCTGCTTCATTACCCCAACCTTCCTGTTGGAAGCTTTGAGAAAGATGAGGTGTCAACTATTTGAAAGCATAGTTAGCTGAGAATCAATAGAAGGATGATGATGTCAACATGTGTTGGTTTATGAGTACCGTCACGCTGCTGATGCACATGCAACGATGTAGGTGGCTGTAACAACACGTTTGGAGGTTAATTTGTTTTGAATCAGTAAGGTGGTACTGATTCAACAGTGCGAGCGCTGTCACAGAACTTCTAGGGGAAGATTCTGCTGTGCACTGGGCAGATGTAGATGGCTTGTGTGGATTAACAATGCATTTACCTATTTGTAAAATAGATCTTGAAGGTAGCATTCCTAAAATCCTTAGAGCTTGAGGATAAGGTTGGAGAATTTTGAAGAGTTCCAGTATTTCTTTGGTTTGAACAGAACTTTTTATTGCTTGGGATATGCTGTAGATCCAGCATGCAGCTCATTAGGTAATCACACTGAAGATCATGGGTTGACCACACTGCTACTGGTGTTGGTTCCTGTTGTTGGAAAGTATCAATTTACTCCGCAGGGGGATTTTAAAATAAGCTTTGAGTAAGCACACATTCTTCTCGTTATAAGTTACTCGGAGAGGTAGAGATGGACTTCAGTATGACTTCCAAATCTAAGGCTGACTAAACTTTGGCCCATCTTTGAAATGTATAGCTTAACTGTCTCTCTTCCAAGAAGGTGGCTCTGTTAGCTGGAAAAGCAGCGTGTACTACTGACACGCCTAAAGCCAGTAAATAATACAATTGTTGATTCATACTCATTCCCTTTTGCTCCATTTTTACTTCAAGTAGTGTAAGATGTGCTTTGTTCTTCTTGTTTGTCATTTGGCTGTGATTTTTCAGAGACCTAAGAGGAAGATGAAAGGCATTATTTAAAAAAGGGGTGTTCATATTTGATTCAGTACTCTCCTTAGATATTATTTTCCTCTTCAAATTGTTTTAATACTTGCTCTAAACCCACAAACTTTCAGAACCAGTGTTTAGCTTATTTGCAGCTTCCACCTTTGGCTTTTGTTCTTCAGCTTACTAAAATGAATAAGGCACTGTCCCATGAGCAATTGACTTATTTTCTGGGTGTTCTGGGAAGGTATTGGTGTTTATTTCGGGGGGCCTTTGCTTATGTTCTCACAAAACTGCATGTCGTCACCCTGTGCTTGCTTAATTCTGCTCCATTGCCTTGTCATGCACATTTGTGTAATCTCCAGATATGGTCCCTAAGCTGTTTAATTTGATGCATGCTAGCTCTGAATCTTACCTGCTACACCATTTTATCTCTGCACTTCATACTAATGAGCACCTGTAGTGTTTCATGTACCTAATCCTTTGGACATCCTTAAATGCGTGGGTGGAAAAATAAAAAGGTGGTGAGCAGTCACAGCTTCTGTGCTGTGTAGGGGGGAACTTCAGAAATGCTGCATTTTTTTTCTATCTACCGCTAACCTTTTAAGCCCAGAGCTGAATCTTTTGTGCTTATCAAGTTCCGAAGAGTAAGAAGTGACTCATAAAAGAGTAACTTGGAAATTGCTGTCACACAGTAGGAAGAAATGCTGATTTTTCAGCTTATAGACCCTCCAGAAGGCTAAAACTACATTTGCTTATTTAACAGCTAAATCACTGTCTGAAAAGAAACATACATGTACCTTGGTAAGCTTAAAAATAAATATTAACAGTATAGATGCAGGAAAAAGTAATACATTTTTAAAAAAATGCTTAAGTAGTAGCTAAAGCTAATATGCATTTTATTATTTGTAGGGTAGAATGTATAGTTGCCACTAAAAACTGTGATGCGTAGCTGCCCTTAAAAGCTTTTTTCTGTAAAGAGTTAAGTCACTTGAGCTGTGATTATAACATTCTCCTGTTAAATTGGGCCACTGAACTGCAGATTCCGTGCAGAAGAACTAGTTTTGTTTATGTTAAAAGAAGGCTGTTTCAGAAACTGCTAGCTCTCTTTACCTGGAGTTAACTTCATGCACTGATTCAGGAAAGCAAGCGACACGAGGCTGCTCAGCTCTGATCGGAGTGAGAAGTGGGAAGCAGGCAGTACTGCCTGCGAAGCACAAGAAGAACCACCTTCCACTACAAGCGCCTGTAGTCAGAAACTGTAGCTATGGCTACAGCCTGCTGAGCACGGTCAATGTTTCATGTCCTTCACCCAAGTTACAGTCCCCAAGACGACCTGGAGTTGGATGAATGGGCCCTTGTTTGCTGCTCCTAACTTCTTTTGTGTGCAAGCTCACCAGCCATTAACAGCTCTGATGTGTTCTTTCTCTTCTGCCTCTGTGCTACATTTCACTGGGATCTGCTGAGGTTAACAAATCACTGGAGAGAGAATATTTAGTGCCACATGTTCGGCTGGACGAAGCAAGATAAAAAGCTGATAAAGGAATTATGCAGCATATTTTAATTGTGTAAGAAGGAATACAATACATAGATAAGCATAAAGAAAAATTCTCATTATAGTGAACTGCCCTAAAAGGGGAGAGGATGGGGTCTAGGGGATCAGTTAAGTATTTTCTGGCAAGTATGAGAGCAAAGTGTTGAGCCTGAGGGCCTGTGCGAGCAAGTCGTGAAGGGGTGGCACTGTAGCTTCCCTGTGTGCCAGGGCCCCTGTACACCTCCAGCCCGGCCATCTTGAGCAATCTGGCAAAGCAATGCAAATAAGGCAGCTGCTGCAACATAGTTGTGCAAGTCAGCTCATGTTTCACTGGCAGTGTGTGCAGCCCTTTTTCTTGCCACCTTCTTCCTAAAGACCATGCCACCTACACCTGCACAGGCTGTGGACAGGATCCACTGCCCAGTGTTCCTAGTTGGAGGTACCCACTCTGGCCAAAGGAGATGGTTTCCAGCTCCATTCCCTGAAAAAAAAACATTTTGTGGACTTGATGTGCTACAGCTAAAGAGACAAGGAGAGTTTTGAGGGGAAAGGAAACATAAAGGGATCAGAGAAGAGACCAATAAGGAAAAGGGATGGGAACTTCAGCAGAAGGGAGGAAAGGAGAAAGAGTCAAGGAATAGATTAGACGAGAAATACTTCATTCTGATACAAGTTTTTCTAGGAAGTACAGGTCACTAGGTCTTACATCCTGAGGCTTTGTAGCACTGTCAGCACATTACAGGAAGGTAAGTCACATTGTTCTGGATGTATTTTGACGCAGAGTACACAGAATGTCTTCTACCTCGAAGGCCTTACTGGGAGAATTTAGAGGGGGTTTTACATACATTATTTTTGTGTTGACATTTCATGTTACACTACCCATCTTCTAATTGCACCACACCTCACAAATGTGCAACTTGAAATGACAATGCATCCTCCATGATAGTGGTATTGCCTACACTTTCCCAGAGGTTGCTCAGCCTTCTGCTCTGAGGTCTTTAGCCATCACTCCACTCCCAGGTCAGAGATGTATGGGTATATAGGCTGTGCAGGGAGTTGGGGAGCAGATTTTCCTCTAGCTGGGAGAGAAATGAGTCTTTTTCATGTTTTGAAGTTGGCCATCCATATGTGTGGTCTTTTCCAACTGATGTGTCAGGGCTGCAGCACGAGGTCTCTGCTGTCTGGCTGGTGGGAAAAGGGGCTCGAAGCAAGCTGGTAACAAGCCCACATTCAAGCAGCTTCTTGAGGGAGAATACAAGTTACACTGGCCAATTTTGTATAACCAAACAGTATATTTTCTCAGCTCATGACTGTAAGCAGTATGCAGGAGAAATAATTTGTTACTTCCAGCTAGATAAAATCCACGGGGCTAGAGTTATAGCGTCCATGTGTGAGTTCAACCAACACAGGGCTTATCTGAGGCTCCTCTACTTTAGAAGTGCCACAAAGAGTATACAGTTCAGAAGGTCTGTAAGCACAACATGCGGTATCTGCTATACTGCAAGCAGTCATAGCTTATCTGCAGCATTCTCGTAAATCAATACATTTATGAAATTAGTTTCCCTGTGAACTTTGATATGACCTTAGCAGGAGAAATTTCTGTGGCATCTGTACTCCCAAGAAGCAGCAAGAGAGATTAACTGCTATATAAAGCAAAAATATGTTATTACACAGTAATACACTGTATTACACTGGGTGATGTGAGAGCTGGTGGCCTTCTTGGGCACATTGATTATGAAACGAGAGAGGTTTTGATTCTCAGAGGAGCAAGGATGGGAGTCAGCAGAACGGCCACCTTGGCCTTGCAGAGGACAGACTTTGGCCTGTTTAGGGGCCTGGCTGACAGAGTCCCTTGGGAGGCAGTGCTGAGGGCCAGAGGAGTCCAGGAAGGCTGGGCCTTCTTCAGAAAGAAAATCTGAAAGGTGCAGGAGCAGGCCCTCCCTATCTGTGGAAAGAGGCACTGGCGGGGAAGAAGAGCAGCCCAGCTGA